AAGTCAGGTGTCAGTACAGAGAGTAGCCAGGTTTTGTTGTATATATAACAGGATGTCCTTAAGTCAGGTGTCAGTCCAGAGAGTAGCCAGGTTTTGTTGTATATATAACAGGATGTCCTTAAGTCAGTTGTCAGTACAGAGAGTAGCCAAGTTTTGTTGTATATATAACAGGATGTCCTTAAAGTCAGGTGTCAGTACAGAGAGTAGCCAGGTTTTGTTGTATATATAACAGGATGTCCTTAAGGTCGCGAAGTGAGCTTATGCCATGGCGCGGTGTCCGTCGTCCGTCTGTTGTTCGTCCAGCATCAATATTTTACTTTAAACGACTTTTTCTTAATAACCAAAAGGCCTAGTGTGATGATATTTGGCCAGCAGCAAACTGGGATGAAGGGCTACAAAGTTTGTTAAAAATTAATGACCTTCACCTATTTTCAAGGTCACAGGGGTCAAATATGTTCAAAAACATCTTCTCGATAACCAAACTGCCCAGGGAGATGATATGTGGCCAGTAGCATGCTTGGGTAAAGCATGCTACCACCAGTGGGATTGAGAATATTTCATTGAAAGTTGAAAAGTTACCATTCTCACTGCTCAGTCTTTGTAGTCAGATGACCGTTTAGGCCCATGGGCCTCTTGTTTAAACAAATTCTTATTAATAAACAAAAGATACAAAGAAGAGATGTTTGATCTGTAGCTTGATTTAGTCCAATTTTTAGCTCACCTGCTGGAAGGGCAAGTGAGCTCATCTCATGGTGTGGCATCCGTCGTCCACCTGTTGTCTGTCAACTTTTTCTTTAAACAACTTCTTCCGAAGAACAGACAGGCCTAAAGTCATGATATTTGGCTGAAAGTTTCATTGGCAGGTGCCGGGAAAAGTTTGAGAACGAAAAAGGAACCTGACCTACTTTCAATGTCACAGGGGTCAAAAGTGTCAAACACTTCAAACATCTTCTTCTGAAGAACTGAATAGGGATAGAATCTTCATATTTGGCTGGTGGTTTCGTGGGATAGAGTCTGACAAAGTTTGATAATGATAATGACTTTGGCCTACTTTCAAGGTCAAAGCAGTCAAATATGTCAAACTCTTCAAACCACTTCTTATGAAGAACTAGACGATATAGAATCTGCATATTTGGCTGGTGGCTTCCTGGGATAGAGCCAGACAAAATTTGAGAATGAAAATGACCTTGACCTACTTTCAAGGTCACGGGTCAAATATGTCAAACACTTCAAGCGACTTCTTCTGAAGAACTAAAGGGTATAGAATCTTCATATTTGGCTGGTGGCTTCCTGGGATAGATCCTGACAAAGTTTGAGAATGAAAATGATCTAACCTACTCAGGGTTGCCAACTCTCATGGCGTGAGACAAAAACACTAAAATGTCCTAAAACGTCCTTACTCACGCTAAAACATGTCTCACGCCACGTGAGCCATAAATCTCACGCATTCAAAAATAGTCTCCCTCCATCCCACGCGAAGCCACAAATCGGCAATTTATAGCTTGGACCGTACAAAGGGAAACAACTCATATTGCAATGTTGTGCTTTGGAAGTGAGCTGACGCGAGGTGTCGCTTTACATCCGGTGGAAACGAATGTAAATAATATCGTAAGGTGAGTTGTTTTCACTCATAAACTTAATATTGAGTGTACCTATCGCGCTGAAAAGAAAGTTCTACTAGTAATGTCGTCGTGTATTGGGAAATATTGTTGTCGGGGCGTGTCTTCACAAATATTAACAGAAAACGATTCTTGAAACACGAACAGACGAATGACTGATGAAAAGTTCAAAGTTATTTTTGCAGTATAACTATAAGTGGCGAATATGATGTAACGTTAACACACCAAAGACATGTAGAACTAAACACTTTTCAATCTGATGTGATGAAAAAAAATAACGAGTTTTGTGAAGTGCTTTGACATGTTGGATAGACGTAGTACGTAGGTATACATAATCATGCAACAAATTAATTGAATCGAATATTTCAGACATGGTACAAGTAAATGATCAGGGTCTGTTTGTTGCTTTGGATACTGTACTGTAGTAGCCAGAAATAATTGGAAAATATTTTTCACTGTCATTATCATTATCTGCTGGCTAAAATAAATTTGTTATCTTTCATGTTAATGACCTTTTCATATTACTACTATTGTAAATTTCTTGCTTTTAATATGAACTGTTATGCATTTTGACAGGTCATGAAAGATCCCATGCGATACTAGCAATATTGACAGCAAAACAAAAAAGTGACTGGTACCTGTTCTAGCCAAGAAAGAAATTGTTACAAGAAACAAGTCCATTGATTATAATATGTTGCATTTCTGATGTCAAGTTGTTTGTGTGATAAATAAAAATCTAATATATATCTGCAAAAAAAGTGTCGTTTTTATTTACTGCAAAGATCTTGAAGTAAAAAAATCAACAATGCAGATGTTACAGTAATCAGTGAAAGCCAGGATTTGTTTGATACATAGGTAAATGTTATCTTAACACTTGAAAAAGACCTTACGCCGCGACGCCGTCAAAAGTCTCACACTTAAGAAAACCCAGTGGAGGGAGATCTCCCACACTGGACTCCTTAGAGGTTGGCAACCCTGCCTACTTTCAAGGTATCAGGGGTCAAATACATGTATCAAACAACTTCTTTTGAATAATCGAAAGGCATAAAATCATAATATTTGGCTGGTGGCTTCTTAGGATAGAGTTCACCAAAGTTTGCAAATTAAAATGACCTCAACCTACTTTAAAGGTCACAGAGGTAAACAACATTTCAAATGATTTGTTCTGAAGAACCAAAAGGAATGGATTCACAAGATTTGGTTGGAAGCTATTTGGGATAGAGCCACTAAAGTTTGAGAAGGAAAATGACCTTGACCTTCTTACAAGGTCACAGGGAAAAATATATCAAACACTTCAAACAACTTCTGAAGAAGAACCAAAAAGCATAGAATCATATAATAATATTTGGCTGGTAGTTTTAACTGTTGGAGTCAACAAAGTTTGCAAGTGAAATGTTTATAGTACAGTATAATATTTAATGAGAATATTTTGCTATGACTGCTTAAATATTCAGGTGAGCAATACAGGCCCTCTGGGTTTAAGGTTACTGCATGTGTGAGATTTACACCAGGTGAGTGATGCACGCCCATTAATGGCCTGTTGTCTTGTATGTTTCGGGCAGTCCTTAAAGTCAATAAAGCAACATTTCACTCTGTTTTTAACCTCACTGTAGATAAAAAACATGTTTTTGTAAATTTCTTTCAGTTCTGCAGTGCTTTAAGTCTGACCTTTCTGTTTCCTTTCCTGCCAGAAATGATTGTGGTAAGTCTTAAATTGATAGATAATTTTCATTTACTGAGGTTTTACATACTCAATTATGTCTGGCCGTCCTCAAGTACATGGTAGCTGCAATACAGGAGTAGTTACCAGGTAATCTGTCTGCAAGCAACTGAGCTGTTGTGAGGACATTTAACATCAAACAAACAGTACCAGGTAGTTAATGAAGATGATATCAAGTTAGGTTACTGGTCAGATGCTTTGAAGTTGATCAAATCGATTATTTGTACATGATCATACTCATATCGGTCTGCATACAGTAGTAGAAAGAGACTGGTTTGGATAGATACTCAGTAGTTTTCAAAGGCTTTCTGCAACTGCTGTCCAGTTTAAGGAGCTAAAGATTTTATCGACAATTCATGATAGGATTTTATAAAAATATTAATTTGTGTTTTGAAAAAAAATATTGCAGCATTTTACTTTTACTCTGATATTTCTTGTGTGACAGGGATTTGGTTATGAGGAAGAGGACAAGGGCTATTATGCTGGTCTTGTAGCTTCTGCAGTATTTGCTGGCAGGGCTGTGGGAAGGTAAGTAACATGATGGGAGGGCTGTAGGAAGGTCAGTAACATGATGGGATGGCTGTGGTGTGGTAAGATATATGATGGGAAGGCTGTGGGGTGGTAATTATAAGGTATATGATGGGAGGGTTGTGGGGTGGTAAGGTATATAATGGGAGGGCTGCTGTGTGGTAAGGTATATAATGGGAAGGCTGTTTTTTGGTAAGGTATATGATGGGAAGGCTGTGGGAAGGTAAGTGTGGGGTGGTAATATAAGGTATATGATGGGAGGGCTGTGAGAAGGTAAGTAACATGATGGGAAGGTTGTGGGGTGGTGAGGTATATGATGAGATGGCTGTGGTGTGGTAAGGTATATGATGGGATGGCTGTGGTGTGGTAAGGTATATGATGGGAGGGCTGTGGAGTGGTAAGGTATATGATGGGAATGCTGTGGGATGGTAAGGTATTTGATGGGAAGGGCTGTGGGGTGGTAAGGTATATGATGGGAGGGCTGTGGGGTGGTAAGGTATATGATAGGAAGTCTGTAGAGTGTTAAGGTATATGATGGGTGGACTCTGGGGTGGTAAGGTATATAATGGGAAGGCTGTGGGGTGGTAAGGTATGTGATGGGAGGGCTTTGGGGTGGTACGGTATATGATGGGAGGGCTGTGGGGTAGTAAGGTATATGATGGAAGGGCTGTGGGGTGGTTAGGTATATGATGGGATGGCTGTGGGGTGGTAAGGTATATGATGGGAAGGCTGTGGGGTGGTAAGGTATATGATGGGAGGGCTTTGGGGTGGTACGGTATATGATGGGAGAGCTGTGGGGTAGTAAGGTATATGATGGAAGGGCTGTGGGGTGGTTAGGTATATGATGGGATGGCTGTGGGATGGTAAAATATATGTTGGGAGGGCTGTTGGGTGGTAAGGTATATGATAGGAAGGCTGTAGGGTGGTTAGGTATATGATGAGAGGGCTGTGGGGTGGTTAGGTATATAATTGGAGGGCTGTGGGGTGGTAAGGTATATGATGGGAGGGCTGTCGGGTGGTAAGGTATATGATGGGAGGGCTTTGGGGTCGTTAGGTATAAGATGGGAGGGCTTTGGGGTGGTACAGTATATGATGGGATAGCTGTGGGGTAGTAAGGTATATGATGGAAGGGCTGTGGGGTGGTTAGGTATATGATGGGAGGGCTGTGGGATGGTAAAATATATGTTGGGAAGGGCTGTAGGTAGGTAATTATGTGGTTGTGAAGTATATGATGGGAGGGCTGTGAGAAGGTCAGTAACATGATGGGAAGTCTTTGGGGTGGTAAGGTATATGATGAGAGGGCTGTGGCGTGGTAAAGTATATGATGGGAAGGGCTGTGGGGTGGTAAGATATATGATGGGGAGGGATGTGGGGTGGTAAGGTATATGATGGGGAGGGCTGTGACAAGATCAGTAACATGACAGGAAGGCTGTGGGGTGGTGAGGTATATGATTGGAGGGCCGTGGGGCGGAAAGGTATATGATGGGAGGACTGTGGGATGGTTAGGTATATGATGGGAGGCCTATGAGGTGGTAAGTTTTATGATAGGAAGGCTGTAGGGGGGTAAGTATGTGGTGGTAAAGTATATGAAGGGAGGACTGTGAGAAGGTCAGTAACATTATGGGAAGGCTGTGGGGTGGTAAGGTATATGGTATATGATAGGAAGGCTGTAGGGGTGTAAGTATGTGGTGGTAAAGTATATGAAGGGAGGACTGTGAGAAGGTCAGTAACATGAGGGGAAGGCTGTGGGGTGGTAAGGTATATAATGATGGGAGGGCTTTGGGGTGGTACAGTATATGATGGGATAGCTGTGGGGTAGTAAGGTATATGATGGGAGGACTGTAGGATGGTTAGGTATATGATGGGAGGGCTGTGAGATGGTCAGGAACATGATGGGAAGGCTGTGGGGTTGTAAGGCATATGTTAGGAAGTCTGTAGGAAGGTAAGTACGTGGGGGTAAAGTAGGAAGGTCAGTAACATGATGGGATGGCTGTGGTGTGGGAAGGGATATGATGGGAGGGCTGTGGGCTGGTAAGAATTATGATGGGAGGGCTGTGGGGTGGGAAGGTATATAATGGGAAGGCTGTGGGGTGGTAAGGTGTATGATGGGGAGGGCTGTGACAAGATCAGTAACGTCAGTAACATGATGGGAAGGCTGTTTGTTGGTAAGGTATATGAGGGGAAGGGTGTGGGGTTGTAAGGTATATGATGGGGAGGCTGTAGGGAGGGTAGTACGTGGTGGTAAAGTATATGATGGGAGGGCTGTGGTGTGGGGTGGTAAGATATATGATTGGAAGGCTGTGGGGAGGTAATTATAAGGTATATGATGGGAGGGTTGTGGGGTAGTAAGGGATATGATGGGAGGGCTGTGGGGCGGAAAGGTATATGATGGGAGGACTGTGGGGTGGTTAGGTATATGATCGGAGGCCTGTGAGGTGGTAAGTTTTATGATGGGAGGCCTGTGGGGTGGTAAGGTATATAATTGGAAGGCTGTGGAGTGGTAAGGTATATGATGGGAAGGCTGTGGGGTTGTAAGGTATATGATGGGGAGGTGTGTTGGGTGGTAAGGTATATGTTGGGAGGGCTGTTGGGTGGTAAGGTATTTGATGAAAGGTATATGATGGGAGGACTGTGGTATGGTTAGGTAAATGATGGGAGGCCTATGAGGTGGTAAGTTTTATGATGGGAGGCCTGTGGGGTGGTAAGGTATATAATTGGAAGGCTGTTTGTTGGTAAGTTATATGATAGTAAGGCTGTGGGGTGGTAAGGTATATGTTGGGAGGGCTGTTGGGTGGTAATGTATTTGATGAAAGGTATATGATGGGAGGACTGTGGGATGGTTAGGAATATGATGGGAGGCCTATGAGGAGGTAAGTTTTATGATAGGAAGGCTGTAGGTGGGTAAGTATGTGGTGGTAAAGTATATGAAGGGAGGGCTGTGAGAAGGTCAGTGGGGTGGTAAGGTATATGATTGGAGGGCTGTGTGGTGGTAAGGTATATGCTATGAGGGCTGTGGGGTGGTAAGGTATATGGTATATGATAGGAAGGCTGTAGGGAGGGTAGTACGTGGTGGTAAAGTATATGATGGGAGGGCTGTGGAAGGTTGTGGGGTGGTGAGGTATATGGTTGGAGGGCCGTGGGGCGGAAAGTTATATGATGGGAGGACTGTGGTATGGTTAGGTAAATGATGGGAGGCCTATGAGGTGGTAAGTTTTATGATGGGAGGCCTGTGGGGTGGTAAGGTATATGGTATATGATAGGAAGGCTGTAGGGGGGGAAGTATGTGGTGGTAAAGTATATGAAGGGAGGACTGTGAGAAGGTCAGTAACATTATGGGAAGGCTGTGGGGTGGTAAGGTGTATGATGGGGAGGGCTGTGACAAGATCAGTAACGTCAGTAACATGATGGGAAGGCTGTTTGTTGGTACGGTATATAATGGGAAGGCTGTTAGTTGGGAAGGTATATGATGGGAAGGCTGTTTGTTGGTACGGTATATAATGGGAAGGCTGTTAGTTGGGAAGGTATATGATGGGAAGGCTGTGGGGTTGTAAGGTATATGATGGGGAGGTGTGTTGGGTGGTAAGGTATATGTTGGGAGGGCTGTGAGACTGGTAAGGTATATGATGGGAGAGTTATTGGGGAGTAAGGTATATGATGGGAGGGTTATTTGGTAGTGAGGTATATGGTGGGAGGGCTGTGGGATGGTAAGATATATGATATGAAGGCTGGGTATATGATGGAAGGGCTGTGGGGTGGTTAGGTATATGATCGGAGGCCTGTGAGGTGGTAAGTTTTATGATAGGAAGGCTGTAGGGAGATGGGAGGACTGTGGGATGGTTAGGTATATGATGGGAGGCCTATGAGGTGGTAAGTTTTATGATGGGAGGCCTGTGGGGTGGTAAGGTATATAATTGGAAGGCTGTTTGTTGGTAAGGTATATGATGGGAAGGCTGTGGGGTTGTAAGGTATATGATAGGAAGGCTGTAGGGAGGGTAGTACGTGGTGGTAAAGTATATGATGGGAGGGCTGTGAGAAGGTCAGTAACATGATGGGAAGGCTGTGGGGTGGTAAGGTATATGATGGGAGAGTTATTGGGTAGTAAGGTATATGATGGGAGGGCTGTGGGATGGTAAGATATATGATATGAAGGCTGTAGGGAGGATAGGTATATGTTGGGAGGGCTGTTGGGTGGTAAGGTATTTGATGGGTGGCCTGTGGGGTAGTAAGGTATATGATAGGATGGCTGTAGGAAAGTAAGTATGTTGTGGTAAAGTATATGAAAGGAGGGCTGTGACAAGATCAGTAACATGACAGGAAGGCTGTGGGGTGGTGAGGTATATGATTGGAGGGCCGTGGGGTGGAAAGGTATATGATGAGAGGACTGTGGGGTGGTTAGGTATATGATGGGAGGCCTGTGAGGTGGTAAGTTTTATGACAGGAAGGCTGTAGGGGGATAAGTATGTGGTGGTAAAGTATATGAAGGGAGGGCTGTGAGAAGGTCAGTAACATGATAGGAAGGCTGTGGGGTGGTGAGGTATATGATTGTAGGGCCGTGGGTGGTAAGGTATATGATGGGGAGGGCTGTTGGGTGGTAAGGTATATGTTGGGAGGGCTGTGAGACTGTCAGTAACATGATGGGAAGGCTGTTTGTTGGTAAGGTATATGATGGGATGGCTGTGGGGTGTTAAGGTATATGATGGGAGGGCTGTGGGGTGGTAAGGTATATAATGGGAAGGCTGTTTGTTGGTAAGGTATATGTTGGGAAGGCTGTGTGGTGGTAAGGTATATGATATGAGGGCTGTGGGGTGGTAAGGTATATAATGGGAAGGCTGTAGGGAGTTAAGTATTTGGTGGTAAAGTATATGAAGGGAGGGCTGTGAGAAGGTCAGTTACATGATGGGAAGGCTGTTGGGTGGTAAGGTATATATTGGGAAGGCTGTGGGGTGGTAAGGTATATGATGAGAGGGCTGTGGGGTAGTAAGGTATATAATGGGAAGGCT